AAGGGAGTAGGTTGTGGGAGCAAGACCCTCGGGCGGAAGCGCCGCCGCGCTTCCCAAGTGGCGCACTATCCAGTGCACCACCGGGCCGGCCCTCTTCGTATAATTTTCTAATTTAAATTTTACAAACACACTGTGAGACAGGGATTATTCCCATTTCGCTGATTAGGGAGGAAAGGCTCAGAGAAACAATAATTTGCTTAAGACCCTTTAGCTAGTGAGTGGCAGAACAAAACTTGAAACTAATCACAACCAAATTCTAATGTTTTCTACAAATTAAGCCAGTTTTATAAGCATAGAAATGCAAGCCCAGGAACGTAGATTTCCTTGTTATGTTTATAAATTCAGGGGTGTTTTGTGAGGTCTCTTCATTTCTTCAGTTCTCCCTTCTTGCACTTGGTCATCCCATCTCAGAAATTATTTTATTGGTTTTTTAAAAAATATTAAATTTACTCATTAACATAAGATGTTATCCTATGTACTGAATTACTATGCTGCATAATAGAAATTATATAAATCATAGGAAAAATGTCAAATTAACTTTGCTAAAAGTTTCAGTTATTTACAACACTAAAACAGCATGACAAATGTGTCAAAACCTGACTGTTTCCCATTCTTTCTAATATCTCTAGAAGCCCATAATACTTTACATTATAGCCATTTAAAGTTTACTAAGTACTTTCATTTATCTAATGCACAACAACATTGTGAAGCAGGCAGTACATTTCATAGATGAGAAAATGAAGCTCAGAGAGGATAAGTGAGTTATCCCAAGTAGCATAAAAAGGCTCCTGATTCCAACTCACTACTTTGTTAACTATATCAGAGTCACATCTCAAATTAAGTCTCTAAAATACATCTCTCTCTCTCTCTCTCTCTATATATATATCTATATAATAGTGACCCAGATCAATACCAAAATAACTAGATCTGCCTTAACTATCTTCCTAGAAAGTTAAGATCCTCTTTCTTTATGTTGAATAACCATTTCAATTCTATAAACCTTTCCCTCTTCTGTCACCATAAAAATGCAAATGCTGTTGTACAGAAAGCACAGAAGATTTAACTACAGATACAAAACGAAACATGAATGTTAACAATCTTGATAATGTAAAAGAAAGGACATATCATCTAACAGAGGTTGGAAGGTAGAGGGAGAGAAAATTTGAAGAAAGAGGTAAGAATGCTTATACCCTTATTACAAAATGAGGGGTCTTTCAAAATCACTGAAATAGAAAATGAAGCTTTAAGTATGTATATTATTTGAAGCTACAGAGACTCTAACAGAGGTTGGAAGGTAGAGGGAGAGAAAATTTGAAGAAAGAGGTAAGAATGCTTATATCCTTATTACAAAATGAGGGGTCTTTCAAAATCACTGAAATAGAAAATGAAGCTTTAAGTATGTATATTATTTGAAGCTACAGAGATAGAGAAAGAAAGATGTGATGATAACTGTCTTTATAAAAAGTAGACGAAGAGAGAAAGTTGTGTAAATAAGATAAATTGTGTTTTATCATAACAGAAGTCCATTGACAATGTCTATATAGAGGTCACAATAAGGACTAGAGAAATAGTTAAAAGTGGTTGCACCTAGAGGATGAGCTATGGTTTTCATTACAAGTCTTTCTGGACTAACTGATCTTTTAACCATTTGCCTATATTACATGGATCAAATTTTTTCCAGAAAAAAAGGACAGATGGATATTTAAAAAGTTTCACTAATACCATCATTACTAGATATGGAAAGTTGTTATTTAAACTTTTCATGGAAATTGTACATAACATTTCAAATTAGGACCAGCTTCCTAGAACCAGCAAATGAATTTTCTGTTGTAAAAGTCTATGAATGCTTTCTTACTAATTTTCAACAGCCCTATAAATACGCATTGTCTTTCATGATTGATGTTATTCCAGATGACAGCTATTTCCTGACCCAAACCTCATACTGTCAGCATAATCTTGTGCTGGAAATAATTTCAATGTATTGTAATAAACTGTAAAATACCATCTAATTCCAATGCCATTGAATCTGCCCTATTATAACTCATAGACAAAATAATTACTTTTGCTTCTTTCCCTATAAGCTTTCCAGAAATACAAGTATACAAAAGGTAGAGAAATTATGGTAAAATACAAGTGCTGGAAGGAAAAGGTATTGAGTTGAAGTACAAATCAAAGTTAGAAGAAAGATAGGGTATTTAATAAAAAGCATAAAGAAAATCTAAGCCTTTAGAGGAAAAAGGAATCTTTAAAGAACAGAAGTAAAAGAGAATTAACACAAAGGATAAAGGAAAACTATCCTATATAAAGATATTTATGGTATCAAGGATGAGACTAGAAATCAATGATACGTACTTATCAAAAGAGAGCTAAATACACAGGAGTAATTACTGGAGACAGAAAATTTCTGGAAGGGTACCTCTTCCTAAAAAATTTCTAATATGAAAAAGATACATACTCCAGGAACTCCTTAATACTATTTAAAAATGACACAAACCTTGAGGGAAGAAGGATGTAGAGGACAGAAACAATATATCAAAGACTGCAATAATAATAGTCTTTATAAATAATAAATAGGCTACCTTTTGTGCTCTTTTTATTGAAATTGCTGGTAAGGAAACTCATTTAGACATAAGAACATTATTTTGGATGTAAGCAACACCTGTGAGCCTCTATTAAGTAACCATACTCCCATCAACTACTATCCTCTATATTTTTCATATTAATTTAACATTTAACACAATAGAGGCTATTCTGAGTGCACTGGCAGCAAATAACAAATACCTTATCAGATTTACCTTATCATAGAGGTATCGAGAGGATGAAACAAGATTCAAAAGCTGTGGGACACTACACACATACACAAAAGGCAATCATGTTGGGAATGGTGTTGGGCAGGGGAAAAAGAGCGCATCTCAATTTGTTCAGGGTCCCTTTATTTGTAAAGGTCTGCAGATATCTTTGCATACCACAAATAAGAAAAACAAGATATTCTAATTTAGAGAATTAAAAATAAAACACATCCATACAACATTTGGAATAAAAAAGATCTTGAGAAGCCATATTTGGTAACTTATTTCAAACATGACAGATAAAAGTTTGCTACATTGAAAATGAGTGAGAAAAAAGTGTGAAAGAGATTTTTCTTCTGTTCAAAACCCAGTTCTTGTGTTTGCTATTTTAGCATTTGTAATTTAACTAAAAAGTATGCAATCTCTTAAAAATTTTCTGGTATAATGCTATAAAAATACATACACACAGAAAAAAGAGGAAGTATAAAGACATTAGTATAAAGCAAATAATTTTCAATGAAACATACATACCAACCAAATTAAATACTGTAACATTTAATTCTATCCTCTACAGCAACATAAGTATCTAACTGACAAAATTTTGCTTTCAAATGATAGATCTGTCCACCAATCATTACTCCTATTGGCTACTGAATCTGACATCCATAATCTTTCTTGGAATTTCTAATACCAAGCACGGCTAAAATTTCCAGTCCTCTGAAGTAGTTATTTAGAATCTGAGAAAAACAAGGTAGAAACAATTCTCTGGATGATACAGAAAGATGCTAAGTAATAAAACTAATGATCAGAAGTGTTTCATTTTTAATAAAGAATTTTTAAATCTCTTACATATAAAATCTATTTGTCCAGAAAAGTAATAATGAAAGGATGAAGAAATCATAACTAACATGAAGCTATTTCAGTTTGATACAAGTAAGACTACATAGTAACTGAAATGAGAAATGAGAAAGTAAATAAATTTTTGCTTCTGGCACACTTCCTTTTAGTGTTTAAATCAATCATCTGCCAAGAATTTAAAACTGATCTGTTTTTTTTCTATTTTGTACCATTTCCCCATTTTTCTTTCTAGAATTTTTATCTCTCTTTTCCCCTTTGATTGAATTTTTCTGGGTTAAGTTCACAAAACAGTCTCACATCCAAATATTTAAAAAGCAATGTTATTTCATTAATTCCACATTAAAATGAATCAAAATATGTTTTTAAAGTGAACCTGAGTGCAGATTATTAATTCAATCTCAAAAGATAACTCTCAGTTCCTCATATGAGGAAAACTTCAGCTGCCTAGAGTTAATGTTCATAGGATTGAATTTATTTCCCTCCAAATTTCATGGAAACAAAGAAGAAACTGATTTTCATGTGCTCGTCATAAGAAATCTAAGAGACAGGGTATCTTTCATCAAGCTTGTTTCACTGAGACCACAAATATATTTCTTATAAGGGTATCATAATAAAGCTCTTTGGTATCCTATATTTGTAATGAAAAAAATATTAAAGAAAAGTTATTATTGACCATTATAACGCTGCTTCAGATTTTTTTTTTTAACTTGAAAATGTTCCTTGGCTTACCTGTTGCATGTAACAAACTAGCTTCTACTCTGTGGGGAATTCTTGGTGGAATTTTCATAGATGCCCGAATCTGGTAAAAACTAAAGCAAAATAGACACAGAAGTCATTTCAAAACATTTAAAAATATGCAATGCCCCTACTTCTACTTTTGTATTTGTTTTAAAATAATATAGTAGGTCTAATTATTTCCAGTCCCACATACCAAATATTAACATGGCACAAAATCCAAAGGGAAACCCGGCATGTATAAAAATGAATGAAAGAAACAGAAGCAATATATGCAGTACTTTTTACTTTACGTGAGAGAACATGATAGCAATCTGTGGAACTAGACAGGTATCTAAGGGTTTCATTGTTTAATCTGGTTTATTCATTTTTTTCTTTTAAAAAATAATGAAAAGCAAATTACACACAATTTTGAGAAAACAGAATTAACTATAAATGGCTTTAAAACTGGCTTCATACTATGAAAAAGTAGACATATTTGGTTTAAAGAATTCAGTTTTGTTCAAGTTAAGATCTATATGTTTATATGCTTTTACTTGCTTATTTATTCTTAAAAATTTTTTTAATATATATTTTTAAAAATCTACTAGTCACTAGTAATAACTTTAAATTTTAAAAATTACAAGGTAAAAATATAATATGCCTGTGTTTTAACATTATTTAATGGTAAATTTGTGTATATAATGGAGGATACACACATCTATACACACACACACACACTATTGTCAAAACCTAAAACAACATTATAAATCAGGGATAAGTTTAGATGAATACTGGGGAGCTGAATATTTAATGTTTATTTTTCTTTAATAATCTCCTAAAGAGTAGCCTAGATTATATTAAATTTGAAAATAATACAAAGATTTTATATATCTCTATATGTATAAAAATACATACATACACACACACATATATTTACTATTATTTCTAGGAAGGTATCATCCTGGAGAGGATATATGGTCAGGTCACAAAGGCAGAATTAATGAAGAGTGAATGAAAGGGTAGTTGATTAAATTTAGAATAGTTAAAGTCACAATGTGACCTTAAAGGGCATGGCAAAACTCCATAGAGATAGATGGGGTTTGTTGAGATTAAGATGAGGTCTGCTTGAAGACGTGAGATAACTGAGAACAAAAATCAAAGTGGAATCAGCTGGAACCTTGGAACCAAAGGACAGTGAAGTTTTTTCAGATGTCTCCAACTTCTCATGTTGAGAATTTTCACTAAAAATTAAGTGAAATATTGCTATTTTTAAATATATTGGAATACAACATAAAAGATTATTAAGAATAAAGTGAGAGATGTTTCATTTTAAACTTCTTTCAAAGTTTAAGACTTTTATAATTAGACCAACTTATAG